TTTCCCCTTCTGCGGTTCTCAGCAAATGATATTCAGAAGCATGCTGCCTCCATCTGTGAAGGTAGAACACATCCATCAGGGTTAGTAGCCACTGATAGATAAGTCTGGTAACTAGACTACCTTTCCAAGATGATTAAATAATCTCCAGGGTTCTAGCAGGGTTCTAACAATCACATACCCTCCAACATTTCTCCAATGAAAATAGGGACGTCCCATTCCATAACGATAATTTTACTATTTATACCCCACACATCTAATGCAGTTGTCCCAGCCACTCTGGGCAGCTTCCAGCGTATATAAAAACATAATAAAACATTAAACATTTTAAAAAACTTCTCTATACAAAATTGCCTTCAGATGGCTCGGGGGTCAGATAACTCCATACCCTCCAACATTTATCCAGTAAAAATAGGGACAGCCTAAGGCAGGCATGGCCAAACATGGCCCTCCAGCTGTTTTGGGACTACAACTCCCATCATCCCTAGCTAACAGGACCAGTGGTCAGGGATGATGGGAATTGTAGTCCCAAAACAGCTGGAGGGCCAAGTTTGGCCATGCCTGACCTAAGGAAAAGTGGGACATTCTGAGATCATATCAGAAACTGGGACAAGTTCTCTAAATCAGGGACATCCCTGGAAAATAGAGAAACTTGGAAGGTCTGCAATCAATTGCTGCAAACAGCAAGGACTGCATGTAGCTGTACATTTCCATCAGTATCATAAGACCAGTGCTTTTTTCTGGGGGTATGAAGGGGTACGCATACCCCTAAACATTTTGTGAATCTTTGTACTTTTGTCCATTTACTGTATTTATTTTTCCTGATTTGAACTATAAAATGGTGATTTTCTTGAGTCAAAATGAGAGTACCCCTAAACATTTTTTAAAGAAAAAAAAGCACTGCATAAGACTGATGGGAAAGTGTATCTCCATCCATACTATGCAGTACCAATGAGGTTTACATGATCAGATGTTCATTCTCAGCTGCATGTTTTTGTTGCCACAGCAATCACTGCAAGCACCTGAGGCCCATGTACCAAGCAGGATCCGGCACTCATGTTGTTTAAAATCCAGGGTGCTTTGAGAAAACAAATTATTGGAACGTGGAATTCAGGGTTCTAAAATAGATTTTAAACTGTTCAGCCAACAGGTTTATGAGGCTGTTGCAGGGACACAGGATGTGAAAGGAAAAGGGGGAAACAGAGTGAGAGAGATTTGAATTTGAATTTGATTTCAGCAGCAGCCTCCCAAATCCAGCTGCAATGAAACTACGCGATGCTGTTAATTGAACAGATGTGCCATAAGGGCATAAAATAAAAATGGACCTTTTCTTTTTAGCACAGCTGCCTATTAAAGATTCAAGAGTACAAAATAACACATTGCCAGGCCACAAGAGTAGACTATCCGTACCGGGTAAAGCAAGTTACAAAATTGTAACTTCCCTCTCTCTTTCTTCTCCCCTGCCTTCATTTTTCGCTAAGGAATGTGGTTAACTGACAGTCTAACCCTCCCAGACAAATTATTAGTGGCAGGAGTAATGGCTTTTTATAAATAGTAAATGTGCATTGGACGATTGTTTCTGCCTACCTAATAATAATATACTGCTTGTGGTGCTTTTTCAGCAGTTCTGGATAGGTTTTTCAATTCTGCAGCACTTTCTGTGGCTTAATTATCGCTCTTATCTTTGTAGCCTCATAGAGGCTTGTCTACTGCAATGCAATCTATGTGGGACATCCTTCTAGAGAAGGATGTGAGCCTGGGAGCCATATTCACCTGTGCTCCAGTGTCTGATGAACCATGGCAGAGGCAAGACCACAGTTCTCTCCTGTGCTAAGCCAATTTGCCACAAAGAGAAAATGAAGTTCGGTTGGCCATACTCCTTACATACAACTGGGCTGGGGTATTATTTAGGGGGCTGTTGTCACTGTTGATGTCATTTTTAAATATCTTCATTTTGGATCTTATGATTTATGTGGAAATTGTTCGATTTAATTGTATACTTTCTGATGTTTTGTTTATTCTTTATGACTCCTTTTGTTATGTTTGCAGTTTTATGTAATTTTTAATATGTTGTACGCCACCTCGAGCATGGTTTTAGCTTTGGAAAGGTGGCACACGAATAAAATGATTGATTGGCAGCTCTCACTAAGAACACACAATATTCACTACAGGTCAAGTAGTGTCTAACCAGGTATGCCCAAAAGGATAGAAATGTAATTCCACACAAATCCTAAATTCAGCAAAACATCAGTTTCCCAGAATTTCCAAGTTGTGCTTTTGAAATTTAGCTTTGAGTAATGCTGTTTTTAAAGTACAGTGGTACATCGGTTTATGAACTTAATCCGTTCCGGAAGTCCATTCTTAAACCGAAACCATTCTTAAACCAAGGCACACTTTCCCTAATGAGGCCTCCTGCTGCTGGTGCCCTTCCACCGTTTGGATTCCGTTCTTAGACCGAAGTAAAGTTCTCAAACCGGGACACTACTTCCAGTTTTGCGGAGTTCGTAAACTGAATAGTTCATAAACAGGGCTGTTCTTAAACCGAGGTACCACTGTATCTTCCTACCAAAATTTAGCACTTTTTAAGTTTCACTGACTTCTGCAAGAGAATTAAACCCATGCTTCAGTTTATCTCATTGCAATGCATGCAGTTAAAAGTACGGTACTTATCTTGGACTGGGTTGTTTTCGTAAAAGTACATATCCACAAGCAGACAAGAAGAATATATTTGAGATTTTCTTTCTCTCAAAACCGGTGAAGACCCCTGTCATTAAGAGTAATTGATACTGGGGGTTTCCTGGGGAGCGTAATAGAAACAGGGCAATCATAGACTAAGCATGAGATTGCAGTCCCTTGATAATCTTAACTAAATAGCCTTTGAGACACCTCTCCTCTGTGGATTATCTAGCCCTTTGTCAACCATACTTGTACTATTGCTAACTTTCCTCCTTTTCTGCTCTAAGAAGTCAGATAGGAATAAATCCAGCCAACCAGCTACTGTTTGGATTTATCCCAAATTGCAGCACAAGTGCTGCCTGGCAGATGCACAATGCACCCTAGGATTAATATAATACAGGCTAAGCCCATCTTCTCAATGTGGGGTGGAATTAAGGGCAGAGGCAGGGCTCTGCATCCTTCACTCAGACAGCGTGTGCCAAAACCAGCTCTGTGCTGTTCAGCATCTGCAAGGTCTGTTGCGGATTTGCATCCATGCCAGGGTCTCTCTAATTATTATTATTATTATTATTATTATTATTATTATTATTATTATTATTTATTATTTATACAGCATCTGGCTAGGTTTCCCCAGCCACTGTGGAAGGCATCCAACAAAATATTAAAATACAATAGTGCATCAAACATTAAAAGCTTCCCTAAACAGGGCTGCCTTCAGATGTCTTCTAAAAGTCTGGTAGTTGTTTTTCTCTTTGACATCTGGTAGGAGGGCGTTCCACAGGGTGGGTGCCACTACCATGAAGGCCCTATCCCTGGTTCCCTGTAACTTGGCTTCTCGCAGCGAGGGAACCACCAGAAGGCCCTCGGCGCTGGACCGCAGTGTCCAGGCAGAATGTCAAAGCAGCCCACACAGCTCACCAAGGTTGGGGATTGACTTCTGCCAGCCACCATTCAGTGGTGAAGCACAGACATGCAGGAGGTTTCAGGTGCAATCTCTGGCAACTCCAGGTTTCTTTCTCTCTCTTTTTAAGCATCAAGTAGCTGGTGAAAAGGAAAACCTTTGTCTGAGACCCAGACAACTGCCAGAGTATTATTTGTTTATTCAATATTAGACCAAAGACTCATAAAGTCTAGCATTCCTATGGGAAGCCCATAAGCACAATAGAGTTCTCATGGTCCCAGCAATGAATATTCACTGCCTCCAATACTGGAGATCACATAGCCAGTAGGGCTAGTAGCCACTGATAGCTTTAGCCTTCATGGATTTGCTAATTCTACTTTTAAAGCCTGCTACACCTTGTGGTTCCAGAGCTTAGCTATGCACTGTGTGAAGAAGTACTTTCATCACCTTTCCTGCTCTATGCCATCCTTTGGGCAGCAGAAACGATGTGATCTGTTGCAGCGCAGAAAAGTTCAGGAAGGTGTCCGATAGCCTCTAAGCCTTTTAGTGATGGGTGGAGACCAGCAGAATGCAAGGGATACTGTCCAATACCAGCATTGCACTGAAAGGAACAGCGATTTTAAAAAAACAAAGCCACCATCCTGCAGCCGCCATCCGTTAGCACCACTGAAGCCTGTTTTTGGGGTGGGGAAAACCTGTTTGTTTTAACATGACACAGAACCAAGTGTGCTAACTCTAAAGCACAGCATCATATACAGAGAAGTATGTGTTGGAACAGCTGTGGCCTCAGCATGAGTGCTTGTGGATCACCATGAATTTTTCCAGTGTATCATAATTACAGAAACACCTGTGCCAAACAGCTTACTCCTGATCCTCTATAAAAGTTCAGAAAGCCCTTCAGTTTTCTCATTTCTTACAAGCCTGTGCTGCCTGGAAGCCAAATCAGTGCTTCTCGATATGGGATGCTGTACAATTGCTCCTTTTCATGGCTGAAAGCCTGGGGGAGAACTGGGAGGGGGGGAGGGATGCTCAGGTGCATTTGTCGGCATATAATTTCCCTGCTTGATTATTTGCTGTTGAAGGCGTACGGTTCGGCATGCAGCTAAGACGGCCCGAAAATGCAATACCAGTCAACGAGATTTAAGCAGCCTAACTGGTTGCACTTAGCAGCCCAAGTGCACTGCAGCTCAGATCGTTTTTAATTCCAGTAAAAGAAAAGAAAGTATTTGGGGGCATAAATCAACTCCCACTGGAAATGTTGCAAGAACAAATCTTATGTGTGTTAATGGTATTTGGAGAAATATGTGTCCTACATTTCTGTGGGCATAACCTATGCCTCAAGTATCTGTTTAGCTGATGTTTTGCTACAATATTGTGTTTCCCTGTGTGTATCATAAGATGAATACAGTGCAGCCTCGAGCATGAATAGCTTTGGTTTGGTTGTTATTCCACAAGTAATAGCACTACAGCTGCATCTCCTTTGGGAATTGTTGGCTAAAGTCTATTAGATTATTTACATTCAAGAACCCAAGAGCATCAGCTTAGACAGGGTCATAAGAAAGTCATCCTTAGCAGTCACCACAGAAAGCATGACTGCCTATGCTTGAGGCAGAGGTCCAAAAAAGGGGGAAAGAGAAAGTCAGGATTTAGCTTTCCAGCTTAGGTCTTCATCTCACCAGACAAGGGTGGAAATATAGGAAAACGGAGGGCAGTGCATCCACGCGGCAAACTTTTGAAACTCAGTTCTCCTTTGTAGCCGTATCTAATGGAGCCGAATTTTCTCTGCATCCTAATGTAAGAAAAGAAAATGGTAAGGATCCATCGTATCAGAAGTGAGCAAGTGTTTCAGGGTAAAGAGTTGTATTCCTCTGGGGAGAGTATTTGGACCACTTTGGCATACAAGTGGTATATAAATTAATAAATGACAATAATAATTATTATATTCGTGGCATTCTCCCATTTATTCTCTTTGTCTCTCTTTCGCTCTTGCATGCATGCATGGACACATATCCATTAAAAAAACAACCCCACACTAGCACCCATCCTCTTTCCACTTCATTTGTTCATCATCCTTATAATGATTATACCATTCAGTCTACTCCACTTTCTTCCTTATGCAGCACAAAATGCAGTAACTGAGGGCCCATTCTGACAAACCTGAAAGGAAGTTAAAATGAGAGTTTTACTGTAGACTGATTTGGGGTTGAGGTTTCATCCTGGCCATCACTTTACTGTGTCAGTAAATATCAGTTCTCATACACAAAAACAAAAAACACACCTCCATTTCATTGAAAGCTTAGGTTCAGCCAGCCTTCACTTCAGTCACTGTGTATAGCAAGCATGAAGAACTCAAGGCCTGCAGGACAAATGTGGCCTTCCAGATCTCTCTGTGTGGCCTCAGAACTCTCCCAAGACCACACACACCCAAGCCACACCCCTCATTGTCCCTTGAGTGCCTTTCTCTAGATTGAAAGTGCCATTGAACTCTGATGATGCTTCTTGCTTGCCTAGACAGGAGACAGAGTGAAGAAACTAGCCTACTGCACAAAGGTGAAGTCTACATTTAATGCTATGTCTACTTTTGCCTCTGGCGGGCCATCACTAGTATATGGCCCCTAGAAGCGAATGTGGCCATCAGCCTTTATAGGTTATGTGAATCATCCCTATTAACCACAAGTGGCAAAGCCTAGCATTACGTACCCAAGTGTGGGTGGACTTCAGTTATAAAGAGCAAGGATGAAAAGAAGGAGGAAGAGGGGAATAAAGACTTGGAGCTATTTCTGTGTAGTGGAGTGTGAATGCTACCAATGAACTAAAAAGTGCACAAACTAGAGCTGTGCTGGAAATTTCATGAATGTCTTTTCTGGTTTTTGGAGGGGTGGGTGGAGGTGAAACAAAAGCTTTCTGGAAAACCATGGAACTGAAGAAGATATTTTTCCCCCCTGAAGTCTTCAGGAGGGGTTGCCACTTCCCTCACTTGATGATCAGGGTGGGGGAACCTTTTGTAACCTAAAGGCCACTTCCTGAATGGGCCACCTTCCAGTGGCCACATGCCAGGGGTGGAGCAACAGATGTGACTATTTGTCCGGACTCTACAGTCAGAGGTTCTGCAAGTCCATCTGCCCATCCAGACAAGCAAGAGATATTGTCACAGGTCAAGGACACATTCTAGCCAGACACAAGACCTGGAGGAGGTCATGGAGGGCCCGAGATAAAGGGGTGTGTGGGTGTGTTGTTTTTCCATATGTTGTTTTGGCTTCTTGCTTTTTAATGAGGCTTACTGAGTGTTGGTCGGTTTTTCAGAATGAGTTTTGGAGGATAAGAAAAACGCAAACACTTTGCAGGATTGCAGGAAAGGGAAATTGCTTTTAGAAACCGAGTGAGAAATAATGGTGTGCATGTTGGAAATGGCCTGGGTGGTGTCTGATTTTTAAAAGAGAGACGCTAGGGTGTGAATTAACCATTGGTGAGACTTAGAATGTCTTTAATAAGTTCCAGCAGGGAGAAGGAGCTAAGGTTCACTGGAGGTGCCAGTCTGCTGCTTATTTGGGTTGTACTCTTCTGGGCTTTGTTTACATTTAACTCTTCTTACTCCTCCCTCCATCCCTCTCTCTCTGCAGACAACAATTTTATTGCAGGGAGAGAAAGAAACACCACACCCAGCAGGTAGAAATGGGGCTAATGGCTTCTCTTGGTCAGAAATCTGTGCATGCTTCTTGCAACCTTTGACAATGATCTTCATCCTATCCTGGACCCCAGAAACCCATCCACAATGAATTTTAGGCTGCAGGTCTATACACATTTTGCTAGCTGCTGCAATGAGCATATCTGTCAACTTCAGTTTCTCATTTTTCCTATCTCAAGTTCAGTTCTCCACATTTCCACATCAGTTTGCAAGATATTTTTTTTAATCCTCCTGAAAGTTCATCAGCATGTCTGGGTGGATTACTTCTTCTAATTTTATCTAATATGCACATTTTTGCTAACTAATTTCACCTAATATAATGGATTTTTGTATGTTACTTTCACCGCCGCATGCATACAAATACATGCACCCTTTACCCTAGTATGTGCATTTTTCTACACACTATTTGGCTGGAGAAGTGTGTTGCAAAATTCAGAGACATGCTGATTTCAAAGGATGTTTGTGTGTTGTTTCAAAGAGTGTGAATTGGGTAGGTTCACCTTTAAAGACAAACTGAATTGAACTTCTCCCCCATCCCTACTTGTGAGTAAACCCAGTGGGTACAGTGAGACTTGCTTCTGTTCAAATGTGCATAGGATGGCTCTACAACTGCTGCTTCAAAGAGAGACAGCTTGTTTCTTTTCTCCTTACCTTCTGTAAATCCCATCATTCTGTCCAGTGGAACACACAAATGAAACTCAGTTTGGATAGAATCTATATAAAAGTGCTGCTACATCAACTGCTGTTGTAAATCATCAGAACCTTCAATGATCTGTGTTAAGATATCCATGTAAACAGATTAAGATGTATTCCATAAACTACTTAATCTACAATCCTAAGCACTTGAAAAGGCAAAGGGTTTCACACATTAAGTAAAGCACAAGCCACTTTCTAGCTATGTTGTTTATGGAAAATGCATGTGTGTGTGGTGTGTGTGTCACATTACAACTTCATGCTTTCCATTTGTTTTCTGCATAAAATGTCATGTGATTTGGTATAGCATTCATAGAAATAGTCTGCAAATGCATGTTGGCATTGATTGCTTTCCAGCCACCAAAACCAGCTGACACTAAAATGTTTTATGGTTCAATGGGTTTGTGGTTGTTGTTTTTTTAATTAAGTGCAGACTTAAGCCATAAAAGTTAGGGAAATTAATACACTGCAAAACATGATTGGGAATGGGCATAGCTCAGTGTTGAAGCACATGGCTTTGAATGCAAAAAAAATCCCTGACACCTCCAGTAGACTGGGAAAACCTTCTGCCAGAGACCCTCAAAGGAAACTGTCTTATACTGCACGATATTAATCTCATTCTGCATTGCCTCTACCAAGGGAAACCAATGTAGTATCTTCTAGATGTTCTTGGACTCCAGCTCCCATCAGTCCAATAGTCAGGGATGATGGGAGTTGTGCAATAAACACAGGCAATAATTTGTTCCGGAGGTCCGTTCATAACCTGAAACTGTTCTTAACCTGAAGCACCACTTTAGCTAATGGGGCCTCCTACTGCCGCCATGCCGCTGGAGCACTATTTCTGTTCTCATCCTAAAGCAAAGTTCTTAACCCGAGGTACTATTTCTGGGTTAGCGGAGTCTGTAACCTGAAGTGTATGTAACCTGAAGTGTATGTAACCCGAGGTACCACTGTAGTGTCAAAACCATACAAAATAGACACCCATGGCAGAGGCCTGTTCAGTTGGAATAGCTTATAGGAACAAAAAATATCATATAAGGAAAGGGCTGCTGGATGAGTCCAATGGCCCATCCTGTTCAGTATCATGTTCTCATGGTGGTCAACCAGATTTGGGGGGGAGGGGGATGTTCCCAGAAAGTGCAGGTGGGTGGACATTGATTTATTTTTTACATTTTTAGATGTATATCTGAAAAGCGTTAATGGGTGAAGAAGTCCAATGTGGTTGCAACTGTGGTTCTGTATGTTTAAAAATGAAAAATGGGCACCGCTTTCATTTGTTGTGTTTAGGGTGGGCCCTTCTAGCTGAGCCTTTCCTCACTTGCAGCTTAAGATCAGGGTGCAGGCAGGGACCCTGACTGAGGGAGGAGCCGCCATTTGCCCTCCCTCAACTGTTGCCTAGTAACAGTCATTCCATCAGGCTACCTGAACTGTTTGCAGCACAGCTGGACTTTGTTAGAACTATATCTTTAAGAAGTGGCACTGAGGTTGCTTTTTCTCTTTTTCCTTCTCCCTCCCTTTCCCTTTTTCCTTCTGTGCCCTGTCTTTTAGGCTGTAAGCCTGAAGGCAGGAGCTGTTCTACTACGGAACAGGTAAGCTACTCTGAGAGATGTTTTTTGCCTAAATGGCAAAATAAAAGTGCCATCTGCCTAAATAAATGTCATATTCAAAGAGTTTTTAAATGTTTTATTTTGCTTTCTTCTCTTCTCTTCCCTTCCTGGCCCCCCTCCCCGCCCATTTTGTGACAGCTTCCCTTGACAACAGTGCACCAAACAGCCCTATGAGATTCCAACCTGCCCTTATGTTTTCTCCACTGTCCCACTGTTAACAATGTGTGCCGAAATCTATGACCTCAAGTAGGGACACAAGGGTCTGTTATTACTATTTCAGCTACCAATAAACCCCAAGCACGGGTAAGTTTGACCTTATACAGCATGTGCAGATTTATTTGGAGGCGTTTGGGAATGCCACCTGCTCGCGTGCCCTTTTAACTATATCCACACAAAGCATTTGTCTAACCACACACAGTCACCACAGTCCTTAAATCTTCACAAGAGGCTTCTTGTATTTAAGGTCACAGACAGCCTGCACAGACACAACACCCCGTCCCAGTCCTTCCCTTGGCTCATGATGAACCAAATACGCAAAAGAGACAACTGGTCTAATAAAGCCGCTGCAAAATGATTCAGATTTTTATGGAGACAGTGCAGTGAAGTTTCTTATGATGGTTTGCTTGATGAACACCTGAGAGTGGAGGGCAGAGTGCTGGCCAGCCTGAATTTGTATGCATAAAAACCAGGAAAAGAAAACAACAATACGGTCATGTCTATGTTTATGTGTATGACCATTTTTCTTTCATAATCTTTGAGATTTTTTCTAAAAAGAAGAAGTGATGAATGAATAATAATGATGGT